AAATAAAAAATATAAATAATATAAAGAAAATATAAAGGTAAGAAAATTGCAAAATGCCTTATATTTCAGTTAAGTACTTTAAACAGAAGTATTTGTTGCCAACTTGTTAAGCCATCAAATCCCATTTTCTGAAACAGTGTAACACCTTACATTTTTTATAAGAATATAAGCTTTGTGTACTTAATCTTTATCTTTCCCCTGATCATCCCTAGCTGCCCACCCTAGTATGCACATCTTTGTAGTGAAGCCCCTCTACTGTGAGGCCCCTCTACTATGAAGCCTGACCTAATTACTTCCTGGAACATGATAAGGAAACTGAGCCAGCACCTCTGTAGCCCCTTGCCTAGAAGGAGGGTTCATAAGTGTTTCAGAAAACTGAACCCTAATTTTAAGGACAGTTTCTTAAACCTTTCTCAAATGGTCCAGCAAACTTTGAAATCATTTAGTAGCTCTTTGGTCATTTGACTCTAAGAAATATAAAAGTATCTATAAATCCTTCCTTTCAAGTACTGGCATGAGAAACCTTACAGATTACACTTGGCGTAATAGACATGAATAGTTTCTGAAGTTCCTTTTAGTAGAGTGCGTCAGTTCCTAAAATTAGTTTACATTTAAACTAATTCTTCTCGCACTTTAAGAAATGTCATCAGTTTTTTGGCTTCTTCAAACTGGTACACTATTGCCCAACTGTAGGCTCTTGCCATCTACATTGAGGTAACTTTATCCCTGGGACAAGCTACTCATTCTTAATATGCTATTCCCATTTATTTGCATAAAATTTATTTGTCTTTGGCTGCTTTTCCTTTGCTCAGTACACAAAGACTGAAATATTTACTGACGGCCCTTACAAGGAAAGTTTACAAACCTTGAAGTGGAGAACACAGGCAAATCTGATACCCACATAAGAAATACTATGTCGTAATTGTTTCTTTTATGACTTAACAGGTTTTGTCTTTTACTCTGTTTGTAAAAGAACTTGCCATTTTTGCCCTTCTCTACTTTTTTGCAAACTATCTGAATGTATACATAGATTTTTTTTTTATAGTCAGATCAAACTGACTGGGGATCAAACTCAGGACCTTGTGCTTGCGAGGCAGGCGCGGCGCCACTGAGCTAAATCCCCAGCCTCTACAGTCAGATCTTAAATGTAATTTTAGGGGTTTTTCTTTTGTTGGGGTTTTTTTTTTTCTTTTTTTTTTGTACCAGGGATCAAACTCAGGACCTTGTGCTTGTGAGGCAGGTGTGCCGCCACTGAGCTGAATCCCTGGCCCTTAAATATAATTTTATAGGTGCTGAATATTTAAAAATACACTTAAAAGCCATTATTCTTGGATGTATAGATACTGTTCTCTGAAATATTGAAAACATGTTAAAGTTGGTAGCATTATTTTTAAAAGGTAATGTTAGAGAACTGGGAAGTTAGAAACTCAAGGCTTTAAATACATTTTGTTTTTTAATTCCAGCTAAAACCACAACTCCGCCTTCCCCTTCTTCTACCACAGTTACCACAACAGGTAATTGAGGCTTTTTAAATTAATAGCATGTAGAGTGTATGTACATTGTTGCCTTTTAGTGATTCTTCATCAGGTTCCAGTTTTATTCATGAATGTGTGTGGACTGAGACTCAGTTTTGAGTTGATACTTAGGGGATCAAGGTGGTAAGCTATTTAAGCAATAATAGTAGCTAGAGATTGAACTAGCACATGCCAGGCAAGCAGAAACAATAGACCACTGAGCTAAATCCCTGGCCCATCCCAGTTGTAATTAATCTTAAAGCTGGTTATTGTTTCATATTCTACTGAGAAAAAATTTAATACTTCTATTAAATACTTTTTATGAAATTGATGTTTCTTTTTTAGTATTTTTCCCTTGAAACATTTTACTCCTTGAAATTCTAATTTTCATGTTGTTTTCCCTTATGACTTGGTAATACTTTTTAATATCCAAAATTAACTGACAGTGCTACTTAAGTTATTTTTCTTGTTGAAATTGTAAGTTAGCATTTCAGGTTGCAGTAAGTACTGGACTTACAAATGAGTTTGTTCCAGGAGAATGCTGCTAAGTCTGATTCATTCATATCTGACAGTGAGTTATACAGTACACCTGTGAAAGTTTATAAATTGAGTGTTTTGTAACTTGAAAAATTGTTATTATTTGTGTAGTATAATTTAAATGTCATTAATTTTTAATACATTGACTCAGCTTAACAAAATCACTGCATATTTTTAAAATGCTTGATAAATTTCTTGGGCACAATTTTTATCCCAGAAAAATATTTTTCTATCATCTTCATATTTGACGCATTATAGCCTCATTGACCATTTGATATCACTAGATAAGATGAAGAATGATAAATGGTTATTTTCCTTAACTGTGGATGAAATCTAGCTGTAAAGACTTATTTTATAGACATACGCATGGCAAAATAGAATCAAGAGGGTCTTGAAATTGCAATAGAGGATCATGAGACTTATTAAGGATTGTTACTTTTGTCTTACCAGGTGCAGCAAATACCACTTTGACTCCAACCTTAGAACCTGTACGGAAGTCTACCTTTGATGCAGCCAGTTTCATTGGAGGAATTGTCCTTGTCTTGGGTGTACAGGCTGTAATTTTCTTTCTTTATAAATTCTGCAAATCTAAAGAACGAAATTACCATACTCTGTAAATGGACCTATTAAATTAATGATGACTGGCAATTCATTTGTGTAACTCACTGAAGCCAAAATAGTCTTTCAAGAAGTCCCACGTGGAAGACGCTATTCCAGGATCTTTAAATTTACAAAGGATGCATAGGATATTTTGGAGCATTGTTCCTGAAGAAAAATCAGTTAAACCGTTTTGCTAAAAGGATTATTTAAATATTCTGCATGAATCCTTGGAGCTGTCTTCTTTTATTTTAAATGGCTGCTGCTGTGGGAATATGTTTCTTTTCTTGACATGCCAAATATAACTTTCTGTAAGTAATGGAAAATGTTATCCTGTGCAGACAAAACCTCTTGACTCTTAGCAGATTAAATTTAGTCATCTTAAAGTCTGAAAGCTGCATTATTTTCATCCTAACTCTCCAAGATGTTACTCGGTGGCCAGAATTGAGAAGTGTGCCAAACAAGCATCAGTTGGGTGGATTTTTGGCTAGCATTTCAAAAGTGGAATTAATCTATTAGTACTAAACTGTATCCTTATAAAATTTTTTGCTCAATAAGTTGTTTTTTTCTACATTAGAAATAAGTTGCTACATAGGGAATTACATTCCAGACTTAAATGAATGGAAAGGATACAAATCATTAATGTATAATGAGTTCTTGTTCATACTTGTAAAGCACCTTATGTCGTTGAGAATATAAAGAACAGTGCCTTAAAAGACAGACTGAAAGGTAGGCTGTAACTTAAAATGTTTGTGATTTGTTCTTTTACGTTAAGGAAGGTAAAGGTTCAGAGGATATACTGTTGAAGTAAGCAATAGTAAACCTGCTTCTAGATATACTGTTAATATTTAATTAAAAACAATTTTGTTTCATAGCTGAGAAAGTTAAGCTGAAGAATATTATACAAAGGTGAAAGCCTTCATATTTTGAACCTTCCAACATTTTTCTTAGGGCTATTGAAAAAAGAGAGAAAGCTGATTAGGTAACTTTTTTTTTGTACTTAAAAAAGATATCCTAATACTATTATACTTTGAAAAGATTTCTCCCAAGCTTTCCTGGAAAATAACTTTTATGAGGGTCTAACAAAATAAGTTTTAGAATCATTTATTAGATCTTTAAATGAGACATCATCTTCAGTTTCCAGAGCAAATGTGACCAGTGTAATTTCACAAAACCTATGGGTTTAAAACCAGGCATGGTGGGGCACGCCTGGCTTTGGGAGGAGAGGCAAGGAGGATCTTGTGTTTGGGGCCAGCCTGAACTACAGAGTAAGGCCCTTTCTCAAAAAAAAAAAAAAAAAAATCTCTGGGTTTTTGATCAGGTTAGATTTTTAATGATTACCCTGGATAGATTGTGCTTTGTCATTTTTTTTTGACTTTCTCCTTGATTTCAATATCTATAGAACAATAAGCATTGTTTCTGTCATTTATCAAGCACTAATTTTCTTAGTTTTAGGAGTTCCTTCTTTGCCTTTGATACATTGGATTAGTTCAGAGGCCTTAATTAGTTTAAAATAGGCTTTTGTTTTCTAAGTCTTTTTTTTTTCTCTTTAGCCTATAGTAGCTGAGTTTAGCACTTGGTTTTCAGCATTTTATAGTAGAAAATGATTGCTTTGGTTCATTTCATAAACTGAAACTCCTTATATTTAGGTGATTATATTAAAGGTTCTCAAAATGAAGAGTTATTGTTTCTTTATCATTGCTGATACAGTTAAACAGCTAAAGTTTGTTTTACTTGCACATTTGTACATACACCTAATGTTTTCAAGTGCCTTAATTGTTTAAATCTCTGGCTTCAAAGATTTTTGGAAAAGGCTAGGCTTACCTCACAATTTTGTGTTTCCATTAGTAATATTTTAGGTATGTCACAAAATTTATTATGGTGCCATGGCTGGTAGTATTTGGTGAGTGCTGTAAGATTCATTTGAAAATACACAGAATTTCCATCCTCACAAGGTGGCAAAAATGAGCTGCAGTGGTATAATTGTCACTTACCTGGATAGGAATTGGTTGCCACACGTTATTGTCAACACATGTAGGAAATTTTGTGGAAATAAATGGAAGCTTCTGTAATTTTGAGCACTTCTCTAACAACAAAACCATATGAAGTTAGATTTTGCAAGTCTAATGCGCTCTTGCAACAGAATTCACACCCTCTTTTCTTTTTGTCCCTTCCTTTTAGCAATGTATCTTGAGCCATTAATGATTTTTGGGTTTTAATCCAGAAGGTATATTAGAAACCTTTTCAGATTTTTCATCTGATTTGTTCATGCTGATATTGTCAGATACCTTATTTTACCTTACAGATTCTTAATGCACAGGCAGATACTGCTGTATTTAGAAGTTTCTATTTCAGTTCGTTAAAAACTTCAAAACCGATCTGTATCATGTACCAAAATGATTTAAAATAAATCTACATGTTTATTGAATTAGCCTATTCTTTATTGACTGGTGTGTTGTAGTATTTTAATTATGAATTTTAACCCTATTGGATTTGCTTCACTAGTCTTATTTGGGGGTGGAGTGTCTACTATCGTTACTGCTCTTCTAAGCCAACATATGGTAACTAAGGTATGAATTAATCAGTGGGGAACAGAGCCCAAGATTGACAGTTGGAAGGAGGATGGGAGTGACATGTAAGTTGATGCCACAAATGAATAGAAGTCAAGCTGAAGTTGAGCAAGAATTTATAAGAATACTGTTCTGTTTTTATATTTCTGAAATCTTAATTGTGGCTTCCTGCCTTTTTAGTTCAAAGTACATGTGAAATAAAACTGGGCTTCTGTTTAGAGTACTTGTTACCCGTATCTACTACCACATGCTACCACATGAAATCTGGTTCTATTGGGCCAGGTTGTGGGCAAAATTACATTGTATATTTAACTATTCCCCTGCAATGGTGAACTTAATGATTTGCCTTAGAAATTATCTACTTTCGGTTTCATATTAGCCTTATATATGGTTGTTTGCTAAATATTATATAAAACTGTACCAAGTTACCTAAAACATTGTAGAGAGTTACTATGATAAGAATAAGGTGCAAAATTGGTTTTCTAGATGAGACGTCCTATATGTTTACCTGTATACTGTCCTTTAACCATTACCTGTGCATTACTTAACATGCTTATTGCTACTAGTATTTTCCTTTCCGGAGGACTTCCATTTTCACTTTAACAGTTTTAGAAAGGTCTACTGTTTTGTTACTTTTTGGTACAGCTATTGAATTCTTTGGGTGTGTGTGTACACTTTCCCCCCCTAATTTGTGTTTTGTTTAAAATGCAAAAACAGTTATGTTTCTTACAGACATTAGTTTACACTTTGATTTAGAAAGATTTTCATTGACTGTAGAATTCTAGGTTGACTTTCAGTGCCTGAAAGATGTTGATCCATTGTCTTCTTGCTCCTCTTGTGTTCTATGACATATCTGCTGTGGACATATCTACTAGACATGTCTAGTTGTCTCTGCTGTTTTATTGATTACTGGTGTTAAACTGATCATGATGTACTATGGTATTTCCTCATTTTTTGTGCTTGGATCTGTCCTTTTCATCACATTTGGAAAATTTCCACCCAGTCTTCAATTTGAATAGTGTGTATGGGGGGGGTAACTCCCCTGTGCCCTGTTGAGTGGTACAGTTAGACAGCTTACAGAAATTTATCCACTGTCCTTCAATGAATGCATTGGGTTTTTTTGGGTTTTTTTCACAAAATCTTCAGTTTGTTTTAGATCAGTTCTATTATCTGTCAGTCTCTGTTTTTCATTTCAGATGTCATTTATGTTCATTTGGGGGTCTTACATCTTTTATGTCTACATACAGAATCATTTTGTAGCTTAGAAAAGTAAGAATTTTTAATGTCCATATCTGCTAATAATAACATCTGGGTAAGTTTCTGTTGGTTGATTTATTTCTGCCCAGGATGGGTCATATTTTCCTTCTTTGTATGCTTGGTAATTTCTTACTGGATACAAGATGTAAATTGTTTTGGTGGGTGCTGGATTTTTTTGTATTGCTGTAAATACTTTTTTTTTTTTTTAATTTTGCTACCGGGGATCGAACACAGGACCTTGAGCTTGCGAGGCAGGCAGTGGCACCACTGAGCTAAATCCAGCCCTGCTGTAAATACCCTTGAATATGTTCTGAGACATAGTTACTGGAAGACAGTTTGATCCTTTTTGGGCCTTTGCAGCTTAGTGAGGTAAGGATAGCATTTGTTCTAGGGCTGAAGTAAGACCTTCCTGGATGCAGTGCCCTTTAAATTATAAACTATCTTGAGTGGACTTGTAGAGCAGACTAATCCTAACCTTGTGTGAGCCCCAGGTACTGCTTCCTCTAAACCTTTTCCTCAGATAGTTTCCTCATGCATGGCCCTTTGCTTGAGGGCTTCCCGCATATTTCTGGAGTTGTTTCTGCATCTCTGGTCCTCTACCACAGGAACTCTAGCTACCTTGATCTCCCTTGATTTTCAGCTCCTCCTTAACTAAAGAATTCCATTTAGCTCTGTCTGGGTTTCTACTCCCTCCACCAAGACCTGAAAATTCTAGGCAGGGAGCTGGGGCAATGTTTCTTGTCTTTCAGAGATCACTGTTCTTTCTTTGCCTAATACCCATGTATTGAAAAACCACTCTATACATTTTGTCCTTTTTATTTGCTTCAGATTTATTTTATTTATTTATTTATTTATTTATTTTTGGTACCAGGGATTTAACTCTGGACCTTGTGATTTTGAGACAGGCGGCAGAACCACCAGCTAAATCCTCAGCATGCTTCAGAATAAATCTAGTCTCTTCATCTTTGCCAGAAGACAAAAGTTCAAGACAGGAATTTTAATGTCTCAATTTTCAGTTTCAAGCAATACATCAATACATTTGTTAACCTTCATTTTTAAAAATGTTATAGATAAGGTGTACATCTGCTTTAAACATCTCTAGTCCCTTTGTCCTCTTCTACTTTTTGAAAGTAATTCCTGAAACTGGCTTGATACTCATGCCTCTTGTAACTATATATACATAGCTATATATCTTTATAAAATAAGTGAGAGGGATTTTTTTACACAAGAATATCCTGCAGGATTCTTTTTCCCCCAGTAAGATATTCAGCGGTCTGTTGCCACAACAGGTGCACATTTTTTCCTTGGCTTTTCATTCTTTGAAAAAATTTCATTTTTAACAAAATTTTATATATTAATGACTCATGTTTCAATAGATGTATATGTTCTATAATGTTTAAATCAGTGAACAGTCTACTTAAACATTTATGGTAAGAACACTGAATTCTAGCTTTTTTAAATAGTATATACAGTGGTACCTTGGTTCACGAATTTAATTTGTTCTGTGAGTTTGGAAAAGATGGCCACATTTGTGTTTGTGTGGGAAAGATGGCTATGGTCATGTTTGTCACCTGATGCAGTTTGCAAACAAAATTTTAGGGCCAAGGATGTGGCTCAGTGGTGCCACACCTGCCTGGCAAGCGCAAGGTCCTGAATTCAATCTCCAGTACTGGAAAAAAAGATTTAAAAAATTTTTGCCAAACCTTTCTGTTTGTGAACTTAGTTTGCAAACAGTGTTCGTAAAGTAAGGTTCCACTGTAGTTGCTATTCAGTCACCCTACTGTGCAACATAGCACCAGAACTTTATCTGCAACACAGTACTCATCAGCCCTTGTTTTGGCCCCCTTTCATTCCTCTGCTAACCACCATTCCACTTGCAACTTCTGAGAGATCAACTTTTAGATTCCACATGAGTGAGATCATGCATACAGTACTTATCTTTCTGTCCCTGACTTCATGTAACAGTGATTTCCAAAGTGTGTTGCAAATGGCAAGATATTCTTTATATCTGAATAGTATTCCATTATAGATCTGTACCATATTTTCTTTGTTCATTCATTACTGAAAACTCAGGTTGTTTCCATTTGGCTGTTGTGAATTCTATTCACTCCTTTTCTCCTAGGAGACATTTCCAAGTTAGTGTATGTGACCATACACTGTGTTTGCATATTGCTTTAAAAGCTTGGTCCCCACTCATGTTACTTACTACTGGGAGGTGGTGGGGCTATTAAGAGGTGGGCCTAATTGTGACCTCCAGTCATTGGAGGCTTGTCCTTGAAGAGGATATTGGGACCCCCAGCCCCTCCTCATCCTCTTCTGGCTGCCATGGTTGTGGGCAGCTTTCCTGCCGAGCACTTCCGCCATGGTGTATTGGCTCACCATGGGCCCAAAGGCAATGACGCCAACTGGCCATGGACTTAGATGTTTGAAACTGAGCCAGAATAAACCTTTGCTCCTTTAACTTGATTATCTCAGGCATTTTGTTGGAGTAATGCGATGCTGACAAACAGAAAATTGGTACTGAGAAATGGGATTGTTGCTATGACTACCTGAGATGATGTGCATGAGCCTTTGGATTTGGTATGCAGGAGGAGTTTGGAAAAGTTTGGAGAAGCAGATTAGAGAAAATCTAGGGTGCTATCAGTGGAGCTAAGTGGGCAATTCTGGTGAAGCCAAAGACCATGGTGCTAACAAAATGAAGACAGTAAATGTTATTTTCATGAGGTTTCAGATCAAAATAAGTATAGGGAACTGAACTGAAGGCCAGCATTTTTATTCTGTGGCAAAGAAATTTGACTACATTTTGCCATGTCCTGAGGGTTTGGGGGGCAGACCTTAAAGGTGATGGACTAGTTTCTCTGGCAGAGAAAATGTCAAGGCAGCACGACATTCAGGCAGTAAGATGAGTATTATTGGCTGCTTTTAGCTCCATTTACCGTGAGAAGCAAGAACAGAGGAAAAAATTGGAAAACTTGCAGTTTGGGAAGAGGAGGAGCACATGTAAAGGTGTTGCCATTGAGGGTGCATTTACTAAAGTGGTTATGGCCATTAAAAAGCCATCTAGGGCTGGGGATTTAGCTCAGTGGTTCTGTCGCCTGCTTCAAAAGTGCAGGGTCCCATGTTCGATACCTAGTACCAAAAAAAAGCCATCTAAAGGCAGGTGTGGCACACACCTGTGATCCAAACACTTGGGGGGTTGAAGCAGGAGAATTGCTGTGAGTTCGAGGCCAGTCTGGGCTACATAATGAGTTCAAGACCAGCCTCAACTACACTGCAAGACCCTGTCTCGAAAAAACAAAAACACAAAACTACTTTGCATTGGGATATGTGTTAGTTTCTTTTCTGGTTGCTGAGTCAAAATACTCAACACCCAGAGCTAAAGGGGGAAAGGTTTATTTAGCCCACAGGTGTAGAGGTTTCAGTTCATAGTTGTCTGGCTCCAAGGCAGAGGGGCACATGACTGAGGGGCAACAGGTCATGGCCACAGAACATAGCAGAGGCAACAAGAGACCTTAACAGAGCCCCTTTTATCTTAGACTAGTTGGGGTAGGTAGCACTCACACCCTTAATCCTAGTGTCGTGGGCCCTAGCCCCACCATGAGTCAGTCACACAACCTAGATTCAGCCACCTCTGAGAAAGCAGGAGGCTTTGTGGGGACATCTAAACACAAGCCATAATATTCAGCCCCAGGCCCCCCAAAGACTCATGCTTATCCTTTTATGCAAAAAAGCGCATTTAGTCCATTTCCAAGAGTTGCCAGTCTGTATGCCAAAGTTAGCAGTTTCAGCATTGCTGAAAAGTCCAAGTCCAAAGTCTCTTCTGAGATTTAAGGCAAACTCTTAGCTGCAAGCCCCTGTGCAAATGAAAGAAAGTTAAATACTTTTAACATTCAATAGATGGACATTTCCATTCCAAAAGTTACAAATAGGGATGCAAAGGAATGGGACCAAAGCAAGTCCAAAATCCAGCAGGGCAAACATTAAATCCCACAGTTCTACTTCCAGCATCCCCAGCAATCTGTGGTAAGTTGTAAACTCCAAAGGGCTTGAGTGGCTTGGCCCCTACTGCACTGCAGACAGTTGTTGCTTCCAAGGCTTCTCTCTTGGGCTAGTTCTGCTCCCTCCGTTTTCCTCAGAGGATCCACGTTCCTGGCTTCTCCAAACTCCTAGGGTCTCCACTGCACCTTTGGCTTCACACTCACATCTTCACCCACTGCCCACTCGGGCACACTGCCTGCCCTCCCAGGCCTTCTTTTGAAATCTGGGTAGAAGCTTTTCTGACCTCACAGCTCTTTCATTTTGCATGTGCCTAAAACCAGCACCACGTGGTTGATACCCGGGTGTGCTGCCAGCTAGAGCAGTAGTAACCAGGGTTTCTTCTCTCTTGGCTGTAGGGGTTGAGTGCCTGGATCACTGAGCACTCTCAACCCAATCCCAAGGGACAAATTATCTAGGCTACTGCCATTCTGGAACATGGTGTTCTGGTGCTTTCCTCTCAAAGCAAAGTCACTTTTGCCATTTTGAGGCTGCAAAGGGTTGAGTCCTGCTGCTTGTTGTGATGCCCTCAGGCCATCTTTTCTATTCTCCTGTTCCTTCTCAGCAATCAAGATCTCCCCTGTTCTGTCTTTGCAGTCCACAGCTTCACTGGCGCTTCCTTTCTGGTCAAATTTAAAATGTTTTAAATCATTCTGCTGGGTGCTTTGCTTTTTTTTTTTTTTTTTTAAATTTAAAGAAAAAAATTACGGAAGATCAGAAAAACAATTCCTAAAAGATTGACTTTTCCAGAAAACTGTAGCTACACAATGCATTGCATCTATCATGTTAAAATGTGCATTAGACAAATACAAAAACCATGAAACAATTCACCTTTCTTCAGCAATTTGAGCAAAGAGAAAATGCCTAAGGAAAGACATGGATGACTTGCAAAGGATGGGCTCTTTAGGCGCCATTTAAAAAAAAGCATAAATGGATGAGTGTGTTCAGTTATATACACTGAATTGGACCTTTGGCACTAGGAATCAGAGCATTTTGTCATCTAACAGTAACACGTATTATAAAAGTGTGTAGTGTCAAAGGAATACAACCACCAGCATTCAAAAGCAGCTTTGTCAGCTAGGCAATAAAACACTACACCATGTCTTTGTTGTCCATCATTGAATGCACTGGTAGCAACTTTGAAATGAAAAAAGCTGCAACCCCTTTTATTTTCTCTGTTTAAAATCAAAACAAACAACTGTGTTGTACACTAATATCTTCAAAGTACATCATTTGTACAAGAGAAGGACTAGGAACAAAAATGTGTTGACAGAGATCCAAACATGGGTGAGAGCGCCTCACACTGTTTTCGGGTGGCACTCAGAAGGGGCCACTTCATAATCACTGACACTAAACAAAGTTGCTGAATTCTTCACCAGATGCTTAAGGAAATCATGAAGATACCCAGTAATAAAGCAAGGCTCTTCTCGTCCAGAGATGTGTAGGCCCACATCGTTCCAATTTACTTGATCTTAGCCAAAAGGCCAAGAAGTGATATATCACTCCAATTCATACAAATAATCTCAGTAGATGTGGGGCTCCGTACACCTGGGACGTAGGTGTATCAGGGTGACCAGCAAGGATCTCAGTGCACTGTGGTCTCTCAGATTTGTAGAGGGGCTGAGTGCCCAGCATCACACTGAAGAATTCTTTTATCCCTGCTACAACCCCATTAACAGCATACTCCTTTTTATCCATGTTTTCCCAAGATTTCTTATAATTTGCATAGTCCTCTAGAATGGAATCCACATTCTTGGCAGGAAGGTAAAAGAGCTGCTTCTGTCTGGTAATTAAGTCCCAGTCATCAACAAGCCATGGTTTTAGCTCTTCAGGGATCTTTACTTTAACTTCAACTCTGTTCATAAATGTTTCTTCATTTTCAACAGTAGGATCTACCCAGGCCCTCTTCTTCTGAGGAGGCTGCAGTGTCTCACTGGTACCGCCACCATCTCCATTACCAGGGGTTTTTTGTTTGTTCTTTTTTGTTTTCGCTTCAACATTTTTCTGTTGCAGACCAGATGTCTTTTTTCCTGGAGCAGCCCCTCTCATCTTCCCCTCTGCATATTGCTCCTGATTGGCTTTTTGAAGTTCTCGCTGTTTCTGAAGATTGGAGTCCACATATTTGAGTACTCTGCTTTCTGGAACCCATTCATCGCAATTTTTTTTTTTTTTTTGGTACTGAGGATCGAACTCGGGTCCTTGGACTTGTGCAGCAGGCGGCAATACCACTGAGCTAAATCCCCGGCCCCAGCGTCCCAATTTTTATTCCAATCACTGTAATGTATAAAGTATTTTACTTGTTTGTCCTTTATGGCAACCTTTACACACTTTGCTTCATAAAGAAGAGGCCCATGAAAGCACAGTACTCGTTCACCCTCCTGGAACTTGGGCTTCGGGTCCTGCATAGGTGCCGTTTGTAAGTGATTTGCCGCCTCCTTCTCCCACCGCTCCCTCCCCCCCCGACTACCGCCCCTACTCTCTACCCCACCTGAGCTAGCATCAGATGCGCCATCAGGCACAGCCACTCTACTCTTCGCTATTAATTCTCAACATAGATCTGGCTGAAAGCCCCCAACAGCAGCCATGGCACAGCCTTAACAGACTGCCTTGAAATTTCTTCTGTGAGATTAATTGGTCCACAGCCCTTAATCTCAGTCTCAGGTAAGGTCTCTGGACCTGAGCAAAATGCAGACAAACTTTCTGCCAAGGTATAACACACATTGTCTGGAGTGCAGCAGCCAATGCAGTTTTTCCCAGCAGAAACCTCCCAAGCCTGGTCTTTATTGGCTTTCTGGTCTTCTGAGCTCTGACCAGAATCTCCCATACAGAACAGCCTAAGGCGTTCCAGCTCTACTTCTTTAGTCCGCATCTCCAAACCTTTCCAAACTTCCCACAAGCTAGCTCCAAAAACTCCTAAACCACACGGTCAGGTACAGTCACAGCAATGGGACATTAGGAATAGAGGGTATCTCAGAAATCAGCAAGGCTCTGTCGCAGGCTCATAGATATAAAATTATAAACTTGATCCAAAAACTTAACATTTGAAAAGAGAACCTCAGGGCACCCTGCTGGCACAGGGCTAATTAGAGAATTATTTCCCTGGAAATTGTTCCTTTGTGTTTGGCCATCAAGGCACTCAGACTATTATATTACATCTGTGGCTTCATCAGTCTCCAGTAGAGCTCATGCTGGCATCAAACCTTGGTATTGTTCATGTGAGGCTGGTTTTGTAGCCATGCAGAATGCAAGAGTTATGGGGTTCTACTGAGACTTCAAAGGAAACCTGGGAAGCCAGGCAGTGTGTGGCAGGTTTAGAGTTCCTGCAAGTAGCCCCTAACAGGGAAGTGCATAATGAAGCTGTGTAAATGAAGGCAAAGGCTTCAGTGGAAATCCAAGGAAGTTAGAGATCCCAGGATCATGGAAGGTCTGTCAAGGGAGGCTACAGGCAGCAGATCAGAGCTAGCCCAAGATGGCTATATGGGCTGTAGCCAGCAAGGCCATAGGGACAGCGTTCCTCAAGCCCTTATGAGCCCACATTCTGTCACTGGATCCAGGCATGGAGGTTTGGGATTTAATGTTTGCTCTGTTGGGTTTTGATCTAGCTTATGTTCAATCCTTTCTTTCTATCCCCACTATTCTTCAGTTTGGAATGGGAATATTTGCCCTATGCCTGCCCCAAGAAGTATATTAGAAGTGTATAATTGTATATTAGGAATATTTAATTGTATATTACATACAGTATATTAGGAGTATTTATATTAGAAGTATATATAGAAGTATGTAATTTTCAGATCAAATTTTATTTTTTTGTGGTACCAGGGATCGAACTCAGAACCTTGCACTTTCGAGGAAAGGTGGCAGTACCACTGAGCTAAATCCCTGGGTCTAGAAGTATGTAATTTTCTTTTGGAGTCCCCCCCACCCCCGGTACCAGGGATTGAACTCTGGACCTTGCGCTTGTGAGGCAGGCAGCAGAACCACTGAGCTAAATCCCCGGCACTTTTTTTGAGGTTTATTTATTTATTTTAATTTTAATTTTTTTTCTTTTTTTTTTTCCTTTTTGAATTTTGTAGGGTCTTACAACTGAGTTTGCCCTGAGGCTTGGAGGAAACTTTGTTTTTTTGTTTTTTGGTACTTTTGTTTTGTTTTGTTTTGGTACTGGGGATCAAACTCAGGTCCTTGCGCTTGTGCAGCAGGCGGCGAAACCACTGAGCTAAATCCCTGGCCCCTGTTTTTTTGTTTTTAAATTAAATTTTATTTTATTTTATCCCATTCCCCCCTCAAACCCCCTCCCCTCCCTATGTACAAAAGCTTTGTTTCCATTTTTTCCTTCTATTTTCACTTTTTTTTGTTTTGTATTTTTTGTTTTTTGAGGCAGGGTTTTCCTTTGTAGTTCAGGCCAGTCCTGAACTCACTGTGTAGCCCAGGCTGGCTTCAAACTTGCTGTGATCCTCCTGCCTCAGCCTCCCAAGTGCTGGGATTACAGGCATGTGCCACCACACCCAGCAATTTTCAGTTTTTTTCTTGTCCTTTTCTTTCTGCCCCTCACTTGGAGGAGATTTTGAATTTGACTTTTGAACAATGCTGGAGTGGTTAAGACTTAGAGATGGACTGTATTACAATTAAGATTTTAAATATTCCCCAAAGCCCATATGCCATAGTCTTGGTTGACAGTTTGTGGTACTGTTGTGTATTAGTTTTCTTGTTGCTGGACACAATACCTGATACAGTTTAAAGGATGAAAGATTTAGTTTAGTTCATGATTTCAGGAGATTCAGTACATGGTCAGCAAGCTCGAAGGCAGAAACATTGGGGTGGAAGGGTGTGGCAAAGCAAAGCTGCTTTGTTCATGGTGGCAAGGGTTCAGAGCAGGGGAACAGCACCAAAGTAGAACGGGCTAGGAACCATAAATAACACCCAAGGTCATGCCTCTGTGACCCACCCCAACACATCGTGGAGCATGGTTTACTAATCTAGGCATTTCTTAATCCAATAAAATTGACAAATCAGGATTAACAATCACAGTTCATCTCTTGTCAATTTCTTACCCAAACATATCTTCTTACACGTATTTAATCTCCAAATACAATAGCAAGTTTATATAATTCTACCTAACATGATACAACTATCCCATGCACAACCAGAAACATGATAATCACTTCCTCAGAGTCTCAATAGTTCCAGCATTTGTGAAAAGTCCATTTCTTCTGAGACTCAGGTGAATGCTTAGTTGTGAACCTCTGGAAAAATAATGTAACAATCTTAAGGTACAATGGCACAGGGTAAATATTTCCATTCCAAAAGAGAGAATGAGATAGAAAAGAATTGGACCAAAGCAAGACCAAAACCCAGCAAGGCAAACATTAAATCCTATAATTCCATGTCTGACATTTGGGGCACATGGTGAGATGTGAGGTCTACAGTGGCCCCACCCCTATAGCCTTGCTGATTGCAGCTCCTAATAGACTCTCTCTTGGGCTAGCTCTGCTCTTGGACTGCAGCTTTTCTTGGAGACATTCTATGTGCATGGCATCTCTAACCTCCAGGGGTCTTCACTGCACCATTGCCTTCATTTCCACAGCTTCACACACTGCCCCCCTTAGGGGCTCCTTGCCTGGCCCGCAAGGTCTTCTTTTGAAATCTGGATGAAAGCTCCCTGACCTCACTACTCTTGAATTTTGTGTGCCAGTAAAATCGGCATCAGGTGAATGATGCCTAAGTCTGCTGTCAGTGGAAGCCCTAGACAGGCCCCTGAGTGCCTGCATTACTGAACAGGATGAAAATGAATCTTTTCAAACATAGGTCCTAGGAACTCTCTTCTAAAGAAACTTGAGACTTTTGTACCCTTGAGTCTGCAATGGGTGGGGTATTGATGATTCCTGAGATGCCATCAAAATGTATTTCTGCTCTGTACAAAGTATTTGGTTTCTTTTTAATGGTGCTAATCTTTTTGGCAGCCATACTTCCTTTGGCCCCAACTTTACTCATGGTTCCTCCTGGGCCAAAACTTAAGTTTTCCAAATTTTTCTGCTCTGCCTTTTGCCCCTGATTCTCTATAAATGTGGCTAAAAGCAGCCAGGAATAACCACACCACAGCATGAATGTTGGGCTATTTTGAGATTTTCTCTGCCAGATTAATCCACCATCCTCAGTTTCAGTCTCCTGCAAAGTCTCAGGACATGGGCAACATGCAGACAAATTTTCTGCCAGAATGTAACACACATGCCCTCTAGTCCAACTACCAATGGAACCCTTCTTCCCAACTAAAACTCCTGAGCCCAGCCTTTGCTGTCCACATTCCTATCAGCATCTTGGTCTTCTGAGCTTTGACCAGAATCACCCATCAAGTTCTTTTTTTTTTTTTGTATCGGGGATTGAACCCAGGACCTCACACTTGCCAGGGAGGCTCTGTGCTGCTGAGCTACATCCCTGGCACCCATCAAGTTCTGTTTACAGTATTCTATGGCTTTCTAGTCTACTTTTTTAAAGTCCTCTCATAAATCAGCTCCAAAGGCTACTAAACCATGTTGTCAGCTACAGTGACAATGACAGTAATGACCCCCCTCCTGGTACCAATTTTTAATTTTTGAGACAGGGTCTCCCTATATAGTTCAGGCTGGCCTTGAGCTCACTATGTAGCCCAGGCTGGCCTCGAACTTGAGGCAATCCTCCTGCCTCAGTCTTCAGAGTGCTGGGATTACAGGCATGTGCCACCACGTCTTGCTCCTGGTACCTATTTTTTGTAATAGCTTTCCAGTTGCTGGACCTAAATACCTGACACAACTTAAAAGAGGAAAGGTTTGGGCTGGGGATTTAGCTTAGTGGTTTTGCTGCCTGCTGCGCAAGCGCAAGGACCTGAGTTCAATCCCCAGTATCAAAAAAAAAAAAAAAAAGAGGAAAGGTTTAATTTAGCTTACAGTTTCAGGAGATTCAGTACATGGTTGGTAGGCTCCCAAGACAGAAATACTGTGGAAGGATATGGCAAAGCAAAGCTGCCTTGTTCATGGCAACTGGGAGCAGAACATGGTCTCCATGACCCACCTAGACACATCAGGAACATACTTTACTAATCTACTAGATGTTTCTTTTCTTTTTTGGGGGGAGGGGGTTACCAGGGATTGAACTCAGGACCTTTCATTTGCAAGGCAGGCAGCAGCGCCACTGAGCTAAATCCCCGGCCCATCTACTAAATGTTACTTAATCCAAGTTAACAAATGAGGATTAACACTCATACTTTGGGCTGGATGTGGTGCCACATGCCTCTGCACTCTGGAAGCAGAGGCAAGAGGATTGCTGTGATTTCAAGGCCAACCTGCACTACATAGTGAGCTCAAACCCAACCTGAACTACACAGTGAGACCGTCTCAAAAAAAAAAAAAAAATCACACTGTGGGAGATGATGAAGCCTTTAGAAGTGCAGTCTAC